AACAGGGATTCTTCGTTTATGGACTTCAGGGTATTCAGAGACCTCCTGAAATTGTACATAAACATTTACATGCATGACTGTATTCCATTTTCTTGGGGGAAGAGAGTCTACAGTCTCCATTTGATTTTCAAAGTTGGGATTGAGGAGGGAGTTTAAAAAAAATCACCGAATTTTCACTTGGTCCTTTAGACAACAAAGAGTCTTATTTTTTTGGCTAAGAAACAAAGTACAATCTGAAAGGAATCTGAATTCATGACCTGTACCACCCTATCAGGACTATCTGTCCACAGGAGTCCTTAAACTCATAAACTGTGAGAAAGTTTTTAGTTGTGTTTGTCATTTTGTCGGTGACCCTATCTTCTCTATGCCTCTCTCCCTTCCTGAAATAGCAGTAAGTAATCTTGGTCTCCTGCCCAGACCTGCCTCAGAGTCCCCATCTTAGGCTTTTTTTTTTTTTTTAATAGTTGTCCTTCTGAAGGGTTTCTTCTAAAGTCTGCAGCTGCAAAAACTTTAGAGAAAGAGAATTCTCTAGGGAGAGCCATGCAGATGGGCATGGAGTATGTCTGCACTGGGGGTTGAAATCATGTAAATGCCAAGAAATAAAGAAGCTAGGAGTTAGTATCCAGATAAAGGAATTTCTTTTTACTATAAACCATTTGAATGGTTTATTCAGGATTTTACTTTGAACATTTAATCTAGTTTTTCCARTTTCTTTCACAATTAATGTGTTTTCACAAACACATTCACATACTTCATCCAGGGTAATGGCAACATCCTTAACTATAAAATGTATAGCACATACACATATCCATTGAAGAAAAGGGTCTCTTTTCTTTTTTTTTTTTCTTTTAATGATTCTAAAGCAAATTTTTGTATAAGCTATAGAAATATGTTCAACAAATAATCATTATTGGAAGAACTATAGCCAAGAGATTTTTTTTTTGTCAGAAGTAATTTGTTTGGAAATGTCAAATTGTGGTTCTAAAACAAAGTTACTGACTTTTTAGGATGCTTGAAAATATGAATAAATGAAATGGTTTACTTTGATTTTTCTGAACTGCGTTTGATTGTATTTAAAATGTATTTACTTCTTCACTGTTGATTTCCCTTGATATATTGAGTTCATGCCAATTTCCCTAATTTAATGTATATTCCTTCAAAGTTTGTCACCTAGTTGTAAATAGTTTTGTTCTATTTTGCAGTTCTTTGTATGCATCAAAACCTGATAATATTACATTCACCAGATTCTACACTTCCTACAGCTTCAAACTTATTTATAATTCCTGGTCTATTTCTAACATCTAAACCATAAACTTGCTGAAAAAGAAAATTCTGGACTAGTTAATAGTGCATGCAATATTTGCCCTGACTCCAGATTAGATAGGATTTCACATGAAATATGGAAAGGAAAATATTGATAACCATTGTTAATGGACTGTGAAGACATTTTAATATAGTCTCAGGACTGTAAGTCCTTTGCTATAGAAATGATATTACAGTTGGACATGTTATTGTTTTATAGAAAACTGGATTATGAATCCTTTTCCTAACATGTCTAGGCAGGGGACAATAGTGAGGATATGAAAAGCTTTTGCCCCTCTTTCCAGAGGGTAAATAAATAATATTTATTAATCCTAAACTCAGTAATTGCAAATCTAGTTTTTAAATTYCCATAAGTTCATATTTGTCCTAGATTCAGAGTAAGCAGCGAAGGACTCTCACTTCATCTTTCGTATTTCCTTTGAACCTAACACTAGTCATACAGTGGAGGGAAGCTCATATTTAAATGTCAAAAGTGGGGCTGGGGTGGTGGCTTAGTGGTAGAGCACTTGCCTATCATGTGTGAGGCACTGGATTTGATTCTTAGCACAAGATAGATAGATAGATAGATAGATAGATAGATAGATAGATAGATAGATAGATGATAGATAGATAAAGATATTGTATCCACTACAACTATATTTAAAAAATTTCAAAGGGTTATTATATTTATAGCCTTGCACTTAATGCAGAGGCTGGCAAACTGAGAAGATGCTTCAGAAGAACCTTCCCTCAACAACTAAAGCACTGCCAAAATTAACCACAAAGAGGAAATATGAGGGAGATCTTTAATAATAAATTTGTTTCAGAAATTATCTATATCTAAATTGCACATAGAATTTTCCTGTTTTCTTTTTATTCAACCTTCAGCAATACTTCCTGGAGTTTTTTTTTTCTATCTGAACTAAGAATAGTAACACTTTACTATGATCTTTGTAGAAATTTGTGACAATTGACTTCTGTTACATAAATGCTGATTTCAGGCTTAGCTGCTTCCTGGATCTCACGATTCACTGATTATCTTATTACTGCAGTTAGTGTAAAAAAAGTACTATAGAAATATTGTGCTTTGATAGCACAGTGTGACATGAAGCAAAGGAACTATTTTATGTAAGACATGGTCATGCATTTCATTTGAATGTGGTTAAGTAACTGGGAACTAAATTAGCATTATCATTGGAACAGTTGATAATTCCTTGATGAACACGGGGAATATTTTGAGACTCTCAAAATACTGTGACATATAATCAATGTAGTAGGTAAATTAATTGCCCAGTGGGCATCAGCCTTCAGCTGACTATTTTAAGTATGGTGATGTTGGCCAGGGGAAGAATTGCTTCTTGCCTTCAAATTGATGTCCTTGACCTGAAGGGGTATCCATTAAGTTCTCAGATGCCAAAAAAAAAAAAAAAAAAAAAACTTTAGGGTTTTAAAACTACATAACAACAAAATCTTCCCATGTTTAGTGCTGCATTCCTCTTCACATAAAATTATGAAAGAAATTCTATAAAAATAAGCTTCAGTTGAATGGAGAAGATAAAAATTACCTTTACAACTATATAGCAGATTACAGAAAAGTAAAAGACAAAGTATACAGGGATCACTTATCAAAGTGATACAAACTAGAAAAAGTGAGTTAATATCAGTTTGAAGGAACAGGAACAAGTTTATAACTATAAATTTTTTATGAAGCAATTTTGTTACACCTGATTTGTATATAAGTCATGTAAACCGAGTAGAGTCTTTTCCTCCCATGAAACCTGGAGGCTAATTTCGCATAAAGCCTAGAAGAACAGAGTGTTAGGGTGATTTTTGAGATCCCTCTCTGGAAAGTTGTTTCTGTGTTTGTGCTGTGGAAAGATCATTTTCTTCTATCATTCCCAGGCTAAATGACAGGCTCCCCCCACCTTTTTCTAAACCAGCAATGTTGAATAATTCAATTCACCACTAAACTTCATAATGCCATTTCTGCCAAATATATCTAAAGTCACCAGATTTGTCATTGACATTAAGGGTTAATGTCATTAAACTACAACTGTTCATCTCCTCAATTCTAATCACTGAGATATTAATTATATTTTTATGAAAGCTGCCTTTTATATTAGTTAATTCTGAGCTCTCAGTTTATAGATTTTCCCCACCAATACTTTGCAACAATACCAGATGTTTTTAATCACATTATTGTACAGGATAGCCCTCTTGAATATACTGAGGTCATTACCAGAATTTGTAATATTAATTATGATAAAACACAAGAATTATGATAAAAACCTGAAGAATCAATCTATTTTGTCTTATGAAGATACATAAAACATATAGTAGATCTGCATCATTCAGAAACAATGAGAGAAGGCAGCTGGGTATTTTATTAAATGACAGGAAAAAACAATTTTTGATAATAGTTATACTGTAGATAACCCACAAATTATTTTGCTAAACAATGAAATTGTATTTCAAAATGCTTAATATCCTATATTTTGCTTTGTGGCTTTACTAGAATACYATTTTTAGAGAGAACTGAACCTTAATTTACTGTCTCAAAAATTTCTTCCAAATTTGCTATGTTCTGGCCTTTCTTCAAATTATTTTTCTTTAGTGAAATAGTGCTGAGGGCCATTACCAAGTAGGTATTGACGCATCGTAATCCTTGCCAGTGTACCCCATGTTAAATGGACTTGCCTTGGAAATTTGCTGCGACCTTGCTTGTGTGCTTTAGTAAGATGACCCTGCTCAAGGTGATCGAGGGTGGATCCAGGTTTGAGGGAGTATCCTGCAGGTTTGAGGAAGTATCCCGGTCCTTGGGTTTAGGGTTTTCCCGGTTTAAGAATATGGGTTTTAGGGAAGTTGAGGTTGAAGATTATTGCTGCTGGGATTAGGGTGTTCCTGCTGCTTGTTCCTGTTGAGTTTGAGATTCAAATGGGATTTGGAAAAAGCCTCGTGGAGTAGGTGAATTGTGCGGGAGACAGAGACTGCCCCTGAACGTATGTAGAGGCCGGTGTGAGTTTGGGAATAAAGAATTGCTGTTTGAATCTACAAAGCTGTGTGGTGGCTCGTGATTCTGTGCCAAGCCGAGACATTGCCACTTGGCATTTGGCAAAATGGAACCTTAATTAAATCTCTATAAACTCACACAAATATGGAATGACTCTTTCTGTCAAGAACATTTAATCCTTTAATTCTTTTCTGGTCAATTCCAGTTGGCCAAGTGGCTTAAATCCATCCTTGTTTCATTCTTCTTTTTTAATATTTACTTTTTAGTTTTAGATGGACACAATATCTTTTATTTTAGATTTATGTGGTACTGAGGGTAGAACCCATTGTCTCACGCATCCCAGGCGAGTGCTCTACCACTAAGCCCCAGCCCCAGCCCCAGTCCCCCTGTTTCATTCTTGAGTTATAGATTAATGATCTGAATTCTACTTCTTATTTATGAAAACAAAACTTTCCCCCAAAGACACTGCTAGGCTGGTCAGATATTTGAGGTCCATATTCTCTTTCCACTTTCTTTATTTTCACAGTACCAGGTACTGTAAGCATAGTTGGTACATTATAAAGAGACAATTGCATTTCTTCTCTACATCATATTTTAGAAACACTCATTTTTGTATTGCAGGTTTATCACCTGTTAGCACAGTCCTAGTGCTATACACAGTGGCAGAAACTTCACCTGAAATACCTACCAGCAGGAATCCTGGGGGGCAAAGATCCTCCCCCTGGCACTGGATGCGGGGCCTGGATGCTATTTAAAAATCCTGCCCTCAGGAAGCTGGGGCAAAACGCCTCCACCCCAATGGCCGGGAAGGATCCTTTTAAGAGATAAAAATTGGCATTAGTCAAAGTCGACTATATAAAAAGTGGTTGATAATTCACTTGAAATAAAACCTAAAATCAACAAAGACATCAAACATTATAAAGAAGCTATGAAATTAAAGAAATGTAATGCATATTTCTTACTCATAAATTTAAAAATAGCTTAGTTTCTTGGAAAGAAAGCTCTTATTACAATTAAACAGGATTTAGAAACTTAGCATCAGAATGATGAGTTAAATTTTTAAATCTACATTTAGAATGGAAAGTCATGCTACAGAATGGCCAGGTAGACACAAATGTCAGTCATTTATATTGTTTAATTGCAGAATTCATGCTCATATGAGTTATAAACATGCAGAAAACAGCCACGATGGAATCTGTGATCTATGCTGTTTCAAAATTAACAGTGTTTTGTTTTAGGTGTATCAGTATTAGTGCCTAAAATGAGAAGCAGTTTTATTCATATGGTAATCACACATGTTTTTGAAACAAGAATAAAACAATCAACATGCACAATTCTTAGTTTGTTTTCTGTTAGAGGTAAGACATCAGAGTTTGCAAAGGTAGAACCGTATGCTTTTTCATTTTTAGGAGGGCTATGTGAGGTGAAAAAAATAGTGAACTGTTTTGAAATTTACCCATAAAATTATATGATGTAACATGGAATAAAAGAATATTAGAGCTAGAAAGAACTTTAGAGATCATCCAATACCCTCATTATACAAATGAACAACTGAGGCCTGGACACGGGAAAGATTATGATATCCTTTGAATATGAGTTAGAAATACTGCATTTTGAAATAATAACATTATCATTTGGCATCTCAATGAGTTGAAAGGTGTTGAAATCACTCAGAAATAAATCAAATATATATGTGATATCAGTGAAAGGACAGCACTGATAATGGATATGGCCAATCTAAGGTACCATCACAATAGGTCCCTAAAAGCAAATTACACTGATGATTGGAAAGCATCTATCTCATCTGGGCCCTCGGAAATGCCCATTGGGCTGAGCACCATCACAGATTGTATGTTGGGGTGAGATTTAGCAAATCCTGGGTTTGTTGAAGACACTACTCTGTTTCTCAACCAAAATTTTCTGCACAAAATAAGTTAGTATTGGAGCATCTTTGAACTTAGGTCAGAACTAAGGGGACCAAGTAGACCACACTCTTTCTTCTATAGAGAAAGTCTTTGATAAAGAAAAGCCAGAATCTGTTGGATTTTCAGAGGTATTTGTATAAAAGGGCAACGTTTGTACATTTTAATATATGGTGACCATATATTATACACTGTATTAATGAAAGCATAGACAGAAAATGACATACTGTAGATGTACATTTCATAGTAAACTGGTCCTATCAGGCAGAGCTAGAAACCCTTCAACATTAAGAGAAGTAGTGAAAGCACCAAGGGGTAGGCCAGAAGGTTCTCTGAGGTAACTTTGAAGAAACAGTGGAACTTAGTTCTCCCTGTGACTGTGTAGAATATTTATCACAGAATACAAAAACTGGTGTGCAGTGTCTCCCATATAAGGCATTTTCCACATTATGATGTTTCATCATTGTCTGGGGAAACCTTATAACCACTGAAGGCTTTTGCTGAGTATCTGATGAAGGTAAGCTTATCATACATTTATATGGCATGCATAAGATTACAATAGAAATGCTATTGTTATAATAGGGAAAATAATTACAAGACATGCAGATTTTAATTATATGCTCTGAAAAAATTTAAAAAATTCCATTTTATCTGATATTTGATTTATTAAAATCAAGTAATTAGGGAGATGGTTTCAAGAATATTATCATAGCTGGGTATAGTGGCACATGCCTGTAATCACAGAGGCTCAGGAGTCTGAGGCAGGAGAATCCCATCCCAATTTCAAGGCCAGCTTTACCAATTCAGCAAGACCCTAGTAACTTAGCAAGACCCCATCTCTAAATAAAAATAAATAAATAAATAAAAATGGGCTGGGGATGTAGCTCTGTAGTAAAGTATCCCTGAGTTCAAAAAAAAAAAAAAAAAAAAGAAAAAGAAAAAGAAAAAGAAAAAAGAAAGAAAGAAAGAAAGAAAGAAAGAAAGAAATATTATCATAAAGAAAAAGAATAATTTGGTCATGCCGAACAAAGAAGGAAGGATAAAAATAATCTTAAAGGAAGTTTAAAGAAAAACAACAAAAGTATGTAGAACAGTAACTCCAAATATTGTTAATATGCTACACATTTAGAGATTTTTGTGTTTTTGCTATTTTTGCTAACGTTATCAAAAACTTCCAACTTAGAAAAGATGCCATTATTTTAGCTCCTTGAAAGGAACTAAATACAAACATTATTTTATTGCTATGATTACACTGATTACTGTTTCTGTGGTTGTGACAGCCTGTCATGTTTAATAGCAGCTTTCCCTTCCCTCAACTTGCTGCATCATTCATAATGGCTTTGTTATGCTTCTTTACCATGGCTAGAAAGGTCTTTCATTTATTGTGGTGTGTCTTCCATCAGGAGCTCTCATTTTTTTTTTTTTTTTACAGATGAAAAACAAAACAGAAAAACTGCTGTACAAGAATACATATTCAGCTGAGATATTGTATTATGTGAGAATAATCCCTTGTCATTTTTCTTCTTAAGGTCAGTCATGTCAATAGAAAAAGCATGAAGTACTACAGCTCTAAGTTTTCACAATTCATTTAGGAAAAACTGAAATTCTTTTTGGTTGGAATTTCCTTATCCCTTCATCTGTAAGAAATTAAGCTTAAGGATTTGATGTGAAATAATTTAGGTCTGGTTTTTCCAATTGCTCAAGTTGCTGACCCTCTATGACTGGATTATTATTTTTTAAAAGAATTATGGAATTTATCAATCAATTATATTGAAGCTAAAGAAGAAGCAATATCTATAAAGTTTAGCCAGAGAAATGTCACTTTCGATGGGTATTTTGTTTTTATTTATACTCATTAAGTATTTATTAAGTTGATTTATGAACTCAATACTTGAGTGTCTGGTTTGTTTGTGGTCTTGAGTCCTTCAGTGGTACAGTGGTTCTCAACTTTGGTATTACCTTCATCCTAGAGCATCATAAAATTATGACCTGGAAAAGGCATTACTAGGGTTTAGTACATGGAGGGCTGAAGGTATTGCAAGATGTGATGTACTTGCTGCAAAATGAGAATTCTTTCTCCAAAAGCTAGTAGCACCCACTGAGAAGTATGTACAAGAGTAATGAATGATTTTTAAAAATAGCTGCTATTAATTGGTCACTTAATGAGACTAGGGTGTGAAAAAAAGCAGAAGTTGACAATGTTTGTATTCTGACATCTGACTTGATCAATTAAAGGATTCTGATTACTGAGATATTGTATTTGATAATGAGTTGGCCTTCAGGGTAACCAGCTTCAAATAGTTAAAATATATTTGACATAAACTCTAAGAAACAAAATCCCATTTTGCATTTGTTATTAGAGCAATCTGAAATAAATCTATATTGGAAATTAGGCAACACTAAGAATTCATGTAAAAGATAATAAACTATGACCTCAAACCCTTTGTGCCTCAATTTCCTCATTTGACAAATAAAAATGATAAGTGATCCTACTTCCTGGGGCTGTTTGTGAAGAGAAAGCAAAAGCTAATTATCATAAATACAATCCAACAGTTTTTTTTTTTTTTTTTTTGTAAAGAGAAGCCTCTTTAGGTACGAAATGGAGATAAAAATAGGTGAAATTTTCTAACTCCTTCCCTCCACATATGCACACAAACCCCTAATAGAGGAAATCCCTTCTCTGAAGAAGATATATCAATAATTGAACATGGATGCCAAAAGTTTAATAACAAGGGCAATATCCCCGAAATAGGAATTTCTGAGATATGGCTCCTTCACATTGTTTTTAATTATGTTGCTTTGTTGCAAGTAACAATTATGATCTATGTGTATCCAATGGAAACAATGATTTAATTAGATAAAATTTAGAATTGAAAACTTAAAACATAAACATAGGGCTGGTGTTGTACCTCAGTGGTAGAGCACTTAACTAGCACCCGTGAGACACTGGGCTCAATCCTCAACACCACATAAAAATGTATAAATAAAACAAAGGTGTTGTGTTCATCTACAACTAAAATATATGTAAAATAATCCAATCCTCAAAAAATAAAGGCTGGATGACAATGGGTGGAGGGTGCTAGGGAAGAGTAGAATTACTTTAGGTAGAGGGGAGTAAAGGGAAGGCAGGAGGTATGGGGGTACGAAGAATAGTAGAACTCTCTCTCTCTTCATATATATATATATAACTATTCTACACCATATACAACCAGAAGAATGAGACATTATACTCTATTATATATGATATATCAAAGTACATTCTGCTGTCATATATAACTAATTAAACTAATTAAAAATTATATATATATATATATATACATTTATATATACCGAGAGAGAGAGAGAGAGAGAGAGAGAGAGAGAGAGAGAGAGAGACATGTTTGAGGTGCTGTAAGAAGATTAATTTGCTCATTACTATGTTTGGTTCTCCTCTATTATAGATTGTTCAGCTATCAGTTTACTTTATACCAGAGTTTTCAAAATTGGGGTGGTAAGTAGAGCAGTAGAGTACATAGAAGATGAATGGTAGAAAGAAAATACTAGAAATTATACTTTTATTCTTTATCTTATCCTTTAGCATTGTTTTTTGTGTATTTTTGTATATATATGTATATATACTATATATATATATATATATTATCAATAATAGTTCTTACAAATAAATTATAACTAAAATGTAATCACAATACCTCCTGAGAAGGGTGCTCAAACATTTTTTATTGTTAGAGGTATGTAATGAGACAATTTTGGAGATGACTTGTTCAACCAATAAAACAGTGACAAAAAAAAAGGCTAAAAAATGGATAAAGTAAACAATTTATTACAAGGACTTGAACAATTAGAGCAAGGCCTTGATTTTACCTATTCCAGGACAGGGATCCTAGAAGACCAC